ATGCTGGCCTCACTGCTGTTCCATGAACATTCCAGGCTCATCTCACCTCGTGTCTTTTGCTCTTACTGGTCCCCATGTACCTACTTGATGAACAGCTCTGCTCCTGTAACCCTCTGCTGCAATCTCATCTTCTCTATGAGGCCTGCCTGATCACCACTGCAACCTATGCTTGGCCTCCCCTAAGCCTGATCCACTTTTTCTTTTCTCCATATTACTAACCATCTTCTAACACACTCTGTGTTTACTTTTTTATTATGTTTATTATTTATGGACTGTTTTCCAACCCTGGCCCACCCCTCCTAGAAATAACTTCCATGATTATAGGAATCTTTTGTTTTATATATTGATGTATTCCAAGTACTCAGAACAGTGCTTGGCACACAGTAGGTATACAACAAATATGCCAAATGAACTAACAATAGAGGCTTTGGCATTTAATGTAGCACCAACTGAAGATCTGTGTGAGGCCAGGTTTATAAAAATAAAACCAGAAGCAGAAAATAAAATTTCAAACATTCACGCTGAAACCCTACCACAGTTCCTTTAAATGCAAATCTATTTGGGCAGCATTTGCCTTCAGAATAATATTTTTAAAACTTTAACATATAAAAAATATTACAAAGCTCTCCTATTGGAGAAAATAAATGATCCCTGTCCACATAGCTCACTTGGTTAGAGTGTTGTCCTGATATACCAATGTAGCAGGTTCAATTCCTGGTCAGGGCACATACAAGAAGCAACTGATGAATGCATAAATAAGTGGAACAACAAATCATTCTCACTTTCTAGCTCTGTCTTTCTCTCTCAAATCAATAAATAAGAATTAAAAAAAAATAAGTGAAACTAACTAGGGCCATAAATACAAAGAATGTCCCAGGACACCAACTATCTAGGTTGTTTCTTTCTATAAACTTCTCCATCTGTGTAAGATTGCCCCAGCTTGATTGCCAATTTTATTTTCTTAATCTAAGTTCTATTCTCATTACCCTTCCATTTCTATTTTTTTATCCTCAGGGAAAGAGAGAGCAGTTACTGCCAGGGCATTCTCACATCTTCCAAAGAAATGGCATAGGTGTTAATCTTGTGTTTATGTTTGATGTGGGTAATGATGGCTATGACTGGAACTGTAGGTTTATTAATATGCAGGGCTCTCACCTCATTAGTGGCGATGTATGTTTTGAAGTTAAGCTGCAATGTTTGCTATAATGTCAGATCTGGCCTAACAGACTTTCTCACTGTTCATTTTCTTTGTTTTTACCCAGTCAATACATGCTATGCTTTCAGGGCTCACACATATGCTTTTTTAATAAAGACAAATTTCTCACAGTAGTTAATCTTGGAAGTTTCAAACATTTTTAATAATTATGTCCTCATGTGATATATACATGTTTATCTTAGAGAAAAGCTTTTTATAATTTTTGACCCAGTAATCCAAAGTATAATAAACTCTCTCCCTGGCTTGATTTTGGAGTGGTGTATGCTTATTCACTGGATAAAGTGATTAATTCATAGTTACTATATAATAAAAAAATACCTGATTACTTGATAGCTTATAAAGTACTTCCACATATATCTCAACCAATTCTTAAAAACAAAACAAGCCCGGCCGGGCATGGCTCAGCGGTTGAGCGTCGACCTAGGATCCAGGCGATAGGGGTTCGATTCCTGGTCAGGGCACATGCCCGGGTTGCGGGCTGCAGCCGATCAATGACTCTCTCATCATTGATGTTTCTATCTCTCTCTCTTCCTCTCTCTGAAATCAATAAAGATATATTTAAAAAAACAAAACAAAAAACAAAATAAAAAAACAGTAAAACCTGGTTGAATATAATATCTGATGATCCATTATGAATGGCAATTGTTGTACTTCCATTTCTACAAAGTTTTCAGTTGACATAATACACTATCAAATAAAGTAACCTGTACCAGACCAATAAGCCTCATGGGAGGGTGGTCTGTCACTGTCTGATGCTCAGATTTCATTCTATTCTACAGTCCTCACTGGATATGCACTATAGGAAAGACTTGATTTTCAACAGCATGTTTGGAAGTTGTTAACTATGTTTTATAAATCCCACAATATACCATATATGTATATATTTTTAAACAGCTAAAAATACAGGAACACTGTATTCCAAGGAAACCATTTAAATGTGAGAAAATAGGTTGTTCTTTTTTCTCATTAGTTAATTCAATACATCTCCATTTCTTAATCTTTTAAAATTTGTGTTGGTAAGTACAAGACCCTGGTTTTTAGGAGCAGCATTTGTAGGGAAGAAAAAATGATTATCAGAGGAGAACACAGGTTCTTACACCAAGACAAAGGACAGAGAGGCTTAGATCACTCATCAGTAATTCTCTTTCACTGTCTTCTTTTCACTATCTTCTCACAGCGCCTGTACCAGGCTCCCCTTCCAGAGGACACCTGTCTCTGATTTGACAATGTGACACGCATTCAGCTATAATTCCCATTATCATTCATTTAGAGAAAGCAAAAATGAGTATATGTGCTTTTAAGAAGGTACAGCAATGAGCGTATACAGCAAAAGTGTATAAACAAGTATATTACCTATTTAATTGCCTTAGCTGAACTTAAAAGCTCTGATCTTTAATTGCCTGATTGAACTGATCTAAAAAGCTACATTTTTTTAATCAAGGAGAAAATTAAATAGCTTTTTGATAAATAAAAAGGCAACTTTAATCTTATTTTTATGGAATTCAAGTTATTAAATATGGACAAAATCTCTAAAATATTAACAACTCAATCTAGAGTAAATTTCTCATTGCAATACTTTATAAAAGTCTTCAAGGACACCTGGCTTACTCCACTCTTCAACAGAAAATGTGCTTTTAAATCTAGAAGGTAAAGTTTACATGAGTAACTAGGAAACTGAAAAGTTAAATATATAAATATATTTAATGAGGTATGTTACCACAGCTTATTATTTCTATAGTTGAGTACCCATAACTACTGGGTGATAACCATTCATTTGAGCTGAAATTCTTTAGTCTTTCCATCTAGACAAATGCAGATGCACATTCACTCACTGGTATCTACGTAAAACTAAAATCCCTTGAGAGGATTTGTTGGCCCACTACCATTTCCCCCACTCAGCCCCCTGCAGATATCCTCTTCCCAGAACTAGTAGCATTTTCTAGTGGGTTACTCTCTGTAGGAACTGGGTTGGCCAGCATAGACTGAAAAGGGGAGCACAGGCTCAGAATTCCTTAAGGGAACCTCTGTGCTCTCAGTTAAACCATAAGAACCCTTTCCTACCTGCCTCTGAGAGGCTCTGGTCAACAACACTTGTCCACAATGATTACAGGGTGGTTGTACTAGAAATCTGGCCAACACCTTAGACTTTATTTTTAGATCCAGACATAATCCATTTGAAACATGTCTGTCAAGATCCCATTTCAAATGAAAAAGTCAATTATTTCTCTAAAACAAAGAGTAAAACTCTAACCAAATAATTTAGATACAGGAAATACTAGAGGTCTATCTATTTATCAATAACTATTTCTGATTTTAAAAAGCAAAAGAAAAATAACTGCAGAATAACTAAACAGTATTTCCCTACCCACTACAGTCTGAGAGCTACAAGATTCCTCACAGAAAGTTAAGGCTACTGAGAATTCATAAGCCAGAGTATGCTGTATGTCCAGAGTATAAGGATCACTTTAATAATAACATTTGCATTTCCATGGCAAAGTCCTTTTAATGAACGCTTTGCTATTGAGAATTGATGACTTCCTTGAGTTCCTTTGTCAAATGAAGAGCAGATGTCCATAAAAATCAATAAAATGACAAGAATTGACCACTGCATCAATTCCTATTAAAATGGCTATAACCACTTTATGGGTTGCTGAGTGTGTGGAGGTGGGAATACAGGGAGTAGAAGTCATATACGTCATATTTTGTTAAATGCCACTTCTCTCATCTTGGTGGTGAAAATGCCCCGTCTTCCTCCCACCCACAGGTGTGTTTACATCTCCTCATGCCCAGGAAGAGTAATACTAACTCTCTCTGCACTTACATTTTGCACCAACTACACCCTAGAAATAGAGCAAACTGGCTTTAAAGAAAAATTTGGTTTATGATTCCATGTAATCAGCATAAATACCTTCAAGAACTGAAATATCTTACTTGTCAACATCTACACACTCTCTTCAAAAGAGGAAGGAGGGTTTAGGAAAAGGAGGAGTCACCAGGCTACGAAAACCACCAAAGAAAACCACCCTCAGGGACAGGTGCGGTACCGCCACTGAAGACACCAGTTGTTTTCTCTCTCATCGTTTATACCTTGCCTTCAAATAAACCCTTCCTTTAATCACATCTAATGTGTATGCTGTTGCATTCCCCAAATGTGCATTAAGCTATGCTGAGCAGATGTGGAAAATTAAACAGTACGGTTAGTAGCATTAGGCCCCGAAGTTGCTTTGTTATAGTCTGTTTCTCACTTAATAATTTGTTCCAAATGAATTCAGGCATTTTGGGGACATTAAAAAAATTCAAAGAGAGGTTCCTTTTGCAACATTCAACAGTTATTCGATTACTGTTCTGTTAATAAACTGGGAGACTAATTTCTGATTCTTTCACCAATTCCTTATTTAAAGTTTCACTTTCAAGGTATGTGAAGCAATCTCTTAAGGACTCGTGTATGATGATATCTAAAATGTTAATAAAAAGAAGGGATGCAATTGTACGGAAGTGAAGGTTTTGCATTAACTAGAGTTAAGAAAGAAAAATAAGATCCTGTCATTTTCAAATACTATGAAATACCTTTTTACATGTTTGGTAAATATTATTCACAAAAATACAATACCAAGTTTGTAATCTATATCAGAGCAGTTGAGTGAGAAAATAAGAAAATAACATTTTTTTGACTACCAAATATATCAGCTTAAATATCACATCACTTATTCACTTTAAAAATCAAGGGATCTGAAGAGCTCCCCACCCACCTCAAATTGTCAAAGCTTATAAGCTTAGTACATACCTCTATGTAAAATCTTTAAACTCCACAGATAGGTAAGGCCTTTAACAACCTAAATTTAAGAAAGAGAAAACAGTACAATGATGATTTTTATAAGGAACTTTACACATTTAAACACATAATCATATCAACCATAATTCTTCCTTTAAAACTATCAACCAACAAGCATCTCCCATTTCTGTGCCATGCTCTGTGAGGACGCCAAATGTATAAGCTTCAGATTCCCTCTGTAATGAAGTTTTGATGTTCTGAAGATAAGGTGTGAGAAATGAAAGAATTAAGTGTATGTGAACTTAACGACCTGGGATTACATTTACTAAGTTCCTAGTGGAGAGGGATAGGAAAAAGGAACAAAGATCTTCATTTTTTATTTTTCTATACTTCTGTATGTGAAAAATTTTTAAATGTCATAACATTTATGACCAAAAAGGGACATTTCAAAACAAGGTTAGCTAATAAAGGCAATGGGTAAAAAGAGATCATGTTTCTTGCTAGTAGTCAGGGAGGCTTTACCAAGGTGCTAGGCCTTGAGTAACTGACATGAAAAAAAGAAAAGAAAGCAGTCAGTCCAAGGTGAGAATATATAATCAAAGTATTGGGGCAGTACTCTTCAAAAATATCAAGGTCAGGAAAGACAAACACTGAGATGATGTTCTAGATTAAAAGAGGTTAAAAAGTCATGACAATGCATAACCCTAGACTGGATGCTGAACCAGACATTTTTTTCTTTTGGTCTTTAAGGGTATTATTGGACAATTGGAAAAATCTGAATAAGGAATGTTGATTAGATAATAGTAATGTATCAATGCTAATTTCCTGATTTTGATCAGCATACAGTGACAATCTAAGGGAATGTCCTTGTCCTTAGGAAATATACACCTGAAGTAGTTAGGGGTAAAGTGTCATGATGTCCACAACTTATTCTCAAATGTTTCAGGAAAAAAATATGTAGTATACCCTGTGGTTGGGAATATATATATATTTTAACCAAAGATGCTTAACTGTTGATAATTGTGGAATCTGAGTGAAGTTATTCTCACAACTTTTCTGTAAGTTTAAAATACTTTCAAAATAAAAAGTTCCCCCAAAATGTTTTAAATGATATTGGGATAAGAAAGAACAAAGCCTGTCTGGCTGATGCAAACCTAAGTGTGGACTCATGTAGACAACACTGAAAAAGCAGGTCAAGGAGATAAAGTGAGATGATACTAACATCTGAATTGGATTTGGATTTCAGAATTTAACAGCCTGAGTTAAGAATAGTCAAATAAGATACTGAAGAAAAAAAAAAGATTTTTCTAAGACCCTAAGTACGTGGGTTATAAGTGCTACCTTGTATGTGGGAAATTTAGTCATTAAAAGCTTTAAAAAATTTTTATATAGAAATTGTTATAAAAGGAGATGCACATATTTTTATTTACACCGACTGACTCTGTATGCTGGAGTGTGGACTTGCAAATTTCAAGGTTGAGCTATAGTTAAGTATCAGATATAGTAAGTGAACTGCTGTAACTCAAATTTCCTACAAGAATTTAAAAGTACCTGCAACTATAGGAAATTTTTGGTGGGTCAGGGCTGTAAGATTACAAGAAAAGCTACCATTATGAGAAGTGAGTGAGTTTCATTTCTTGAAAATGATGAAAAGAGGACTGGGGGCTAAATATGCAAGGGTTTTAGCTGATCAAGAAAGACTAAGAGTAATATTAAAAACAGAAATGCAAAGGGAGAAACCCAATTTCCAAATAGTAAAGATCAAGAATAACATAAAATCTATATCAATTAATGCTCAGCAAAGGTTAACATATTTTAATTAGTCTCATAGAGTGGAATGTACTCCAAAAAGATCTGCTAACACAGTATAATCAATTCCACAATGTTTGTCTATTTTAAGAGAACAGAATGCATTTTTATAGCAAATGATTTCTTTTGGGGTTTTATTACAATAAAACACACATTTTCTGGACAATGAGATAGTAAATAAAGAAATAGCAAAATAGTAATAATGATAACTTTAACACAGAGGAAACAGGACAAAAATATTTCTTTATAAAGCATAACATCAATAATAAGAACAATTTTCTTTTTGAGTAGCAGGACAAGGTCATCTTATTTAGCAGGGAACTAATCATGTTCTGAGTTCTGAAAGTAGAGTTATAATTCTGTCCGAAACTTAGGAACATACTATAAAGCCTCTGCACTAACGATAGCTCACCACTAAAACTGGCCCCACAGAAAAAGAACAACCAGAAAGCACACACGGAGAAGGCAGTCCATCACGCTCAGGCTAGCAGGCAGAAAAGGAAGCAAATATTCATGTCATAATAATTAATAATGCTATAATTAGAAATTCTGTTAAGAGATTCAAAAAAATTATTTTTCCAACATTGCCAAAACAGACATTTTCCTTTATAAGCACATAAGAATCGAGGTAGAGGGAGCTAGAAATCTGTCAACTGAAAATCTGGAAGGTATTATTGGTATTCAGTAGGCCAGGTTTCAAGACAGGATGTGACAAAGCCTTGACACTAAACGTACTTCCATCTGCTGTCAATCATGCACTCCTTGACGTGTCAAGTGCACATCCTTTCAGGGACAACTTCAATCAACATTAGCTCTCGGAATAGAGTACACAGTGTCACTGCTTCAGAAATGAGAGGAAAAATAAACTGTGGTAGATGGCAGGGAAAGACAGAAAGGCATTCCTGTTCATAGGAGACCAGATTCAAGTGGACAGTGGATAAAAATCATGGCGCGAGCTGGAAGGCTGGATTCAGTCAGCTTATGTGTGTTTCTTTTTGTGGGAAAAATATTCTCTTGCCATACATCCTACAAGAGAAAATTTGAACAATATATCATAAAGGCTGACAGTCATCCTGTAATGAACCTTGGCTCTTGGGAAAACAAAGTTAATTTGTGGGGGGAGAGGTGCCTAGGTATGGCTCTCAAGACATGAGAAGACTCTGAAGTGATAGTCTGTGTCATTCAGTCATTCTCTCATTCATAGTTCTCTTTTTTCTTCTCTTTGTTTTATTTATTTACTTTTAAACTTTGTTCTCCCTTTCACTCCTTCCTCTTCTTTTTTCTCATTCTCTTAGGAAAGCAGAGTGAAAGAACATGAGGCCCGGAGCCAAACAGCTCTCGTTCAAATTATTACTGACTAGTTATGATAACTCTGAGCAAGTTATTTAACTTTTCTAAACCTCATCTTATACATCCATAAACTATGTACAATAATCTACACTTTATAAAGTTGCTGTAAAGACTGAATGACAATATTTGTATGTAATACAATTATTAATGATTGGCACAAGGAAGTATTTGATATACACTTCTCTCCTGATTCTGACTTGAAAACAGCCATGTGCTTTCTTGGCCTCACAAAGTTTATAAAAAATGGCCCATGAAGAGTAAAATTATCAAAAGTATTTTTTTTCTACTCTGGCCACAGGCAGTTTTCATTACTGTGACCTGAATGAGCCATAAAAGTTGGAGAAATTGGACACATTTTAGAAAAAACACACAAACTCCTACCTTTTAAAAAGTAAGGGCAACTGTAAACAATGCTTTAGGCTAGCACTTATTTTAAATGCCTTTCACTAAAATAATTTTTGTCATATTTCCATTACTGAATAGGGAAGCCCTGTATTGGAAAGTAGATTATTATTATTATTATTTCTGACTGCATTCGCTTCACAGGCTTCCCACTCTGGTGGAATTGAAAAGACAGTGGCCTTGTGTGGATGCCTGACACAAGGGGGAGGTAAGATTTATGAAGTCCAGGAAGAACAAATGCTTCTCTACTGAAGGAAGCAGATTCCTCTTTTAGCCAAGTTCAATATATAATTGAGTATATAGAACTCATATACTTCTTTTCCATTTTCAATTGGTATCCTTGCCTTTTTTTGCCCTTTATTATGTGTTATTAAACTTGAGAGCCAAAAACTGCCAAAAGCCACAAGAACTCATTCCCCCCGAGATTAAAAAAGGAAATGAAACATTTTTATTTTCATCTAAAATAGTGATTTAAGAACTCAAATTTCATACTAAACTAATCTACCTAACATGTAGATTAGAAGCTACTTAACAGCAGTAGCATCAGAAAAGAAAGTTCTCATCACCCTGGGCAGTTCACAACTAATAATTAGAAAGAATAAAGGAAAGCTGTGAATTACAATGAACTAAAACTAAATAAGTGTCCATGTTGGATTAAAGGATTTGAGTTGTTGGTCTGATGTATAATGAATGTGAAAATCGGCCATTTAATTAAACGGTACACAGTGTAATCGTTTTGTTCTGCATTAAACTGCTTAAGTTATCAGAGTACTTTTAGGTTAGCAATTGTTTACTATTCCACCACTCCATGACTTCTCTTAGACACTGTTTAACCTACAATATCCCAAATTTGAAATCTGGGGTTTACATAGAAATTTGGTTTAAGAGTATATTTCATTTGTTTATTAGTGAATACAGAACATAGAAAAACTGCTTTTAATCATAAAGGGAATAAATCCTAGATGTAGTGGGTGAAAAAAAATCAAAACCCAAGAACATAAAATTTCTGCAAAATTCTTTAAGTACTATTTTCTTATAGATTGTTTAAGAATTTAGACTTTAAAAGTATTTTCTAATATGTCTATAATTATAAAATGTCCAACAGCCAGCTTTTTTTTTTTTTTTTTTAAGAACATGGAATTTTTACTGGTCAATAAGAGGACTACAGCCCCTGCAAACACATGAAACTAGAGCAGATCAGAGTGCCTACAAGCCTGAGAGATGTCATGTGCCTATGTAGTTACTGTGGGTTGGTCTAGGAAAAGAAGAAAGCACAGAAATAATAAGAAAAGAAGGTTAAGAAGGCGCTGGCTGTCAATAGGGATTGAGAAGAGAAAAAAATATCCTGAGGATATAAGGAGAATAAGGCTTGTCTAGAGATGGAGTCACCCAGATTTCATAAGGTTGAAGCCATTTACTCACTGCTACTGCAATCCTTCCAAGAACATGCTCTGGAATTTTTCTATATACATCCAAAGATCCTCCTGTAGAGACAAACATGTTGTGTTACTACAAATAAAACTATTAGAACAGTGCACTGGGCCTCTCCTCGGCGCATTCATTGTGATAATTTTTTTTCTTGTCTTATATCATGCATTAAATGGGGTAAAATTGTTTTTTGTCCAATTTTATTTATAACATAATCACATTTCAAAATGAAGCATAACTAGATACTTCCATTTTATTCCCAAGAGTATAATCACATACACACAAATACTGAAGAAAACTAGTCAAAGGCAGGCTAAGAATCTGTACTTTATGTAAATTTAAATACATATAAAAAACTGAAGATTAATAGGACAATTACATTTAGGTATCTGCCTTGTGTAACAGTTTTCTCAAATGTAAACCAGGACCTTATCTTAAAATTTTCACATTAACCAAACAGAAGTTGGTAAATATAAGGTCCAAAATACACACAAAAACTAATAAAGTAAAGTACTAATGTTAACATCCTTCTAAATAAATGTTACCCTTTAAATTATCAAGACAAGCAATCAACCTATTCCAAAGACATCATCTTAGTTCAAAATCGGTTTTGTGGGTTTTTAAAAAAAATTCTCTTTGATAATACTTTGAAAACTACTTTATGAGATAAAAAAGAAAACTTAACCTCCCATGTCATAACATTTTCACTAAAATGGTATTCACTGACACCCTTCACCTTTACCAGTTCAGCTTTTAGCAGTTTCTAAAAATCAAAACCACCAGATTGTGAACATAATAAAGGCAAGGGCCATGTTGCTTGCTTGCTTGTTTTTAATTTTCATCAACCTAGAAGTTAGCACAACTAGCAAATTGTAGATATTCAATAAATATCTGTCAGATGAATGAATGAATGAATGAATACCACCATAAATTTCACCAGGTAGATACAGTTACTCTCAAAGCAGTTTCAAAAAAAGACTGCAAACCATTTGCAGCACCAATAACATCACTGAAGTAACTGCATAACTTTCCTAGGTAACTATTTTAAAGAAACCAATATTCACTTGAAAGTATAAATCTGGGTATGCTTATTAATTTCAGGAAGATATGCAAAGAACCACTACTTTACTCATACTAATGATACGATTACATTAGAACTGTTTTAACAATATAGAATAGTCTTACTTTGGGTCAAGTTGAGGTGTACAGCCTCTCAGTTCTACAATAGAATTATCCAGGATATTTGAGAAATAATTTGTTTCTATTACAGGCTAAAAATTCATATATAACCACTTTACTACCAGATGATTTAAAAATATATTTCACAAGGGATTAGCATGGAATGTGTTATTCTTTTGAAACGCAGTTAAGTCTATTTTGCAAAAAGAAAATTTTTATATGTCAAGGCTTTCTAAAGCCGAACATCGGAGAAAAAAATAAATAATTTTTCCTGTAAAAAATATAAATAAAGCTACTGGTTTTATATTTACCCTGTTTAAAGCAGGAAAATGATCACTTCTTTAGGTAACTTTGCCTTGTAGTTTCCACATTCTGACAAGAAGCTGGAAAACCATGGTGTAACTAAAACTTATGCTTTGGCTCTGGGTACTAGTAGGGAGATAATGAAAAAACAGACTTGGTGGAACCATCTTTATGTACTAAAATAGCATTTTTATTATAGATGCAATAAAAGTGGAAGTATGGCAGAAAAATATTTTATGTTCTCATTGATCTTTCAGATGAATTGCCAGTTGCAAGAATAAACGGTCTCAAGAAGATCAAGCTTCATGTGCTGGTATTCGGAATACTGATAAATGCAGTTTATTGTGCCAATCCCTATGAAGTGAACAGCTTGAATGGCAAAACTAGGAGGTGTAAATCACTCACATATAATAGTAAGAAGTCCTAAGAGGAGATTTAGTTTTACGTAGGATATAAATCAGGGCTTAATTAGCTAAATGGACAATATTCAACAAGCTAAACCAAAAAGCCAAAGATGCTAGCTACTACCATTATCAGTGGAACAAGGCAAAAGAGAAGCCTATTTTGAGGTAATTCATTGGGTTTTGTAAATATCCATTTAATCTTGGTTATATCCCACTCTCCTTAGCCATCCATATAGGTAAATATTTACATAGCTGGCTTTGTGTCACCACAGATTCATCCTATCCTTGACATACTCATTAGAGATAACTGTCAGAGGCAAAAAAAAAAAAAAAAGTGGCAGAG